CTGAGTTTTGGGGGGGCTGAGTCTGAGTGAAAGAGGGTCTAGCCTAGAAAACCTTTTGTATCGTTACCCCAATGCCCCCACGCATATGGGATATATTGAGTATGGTGATCAGATCATGATATGAATAAACATAACAGTTTAAATAATGCACCAGTAAGGCCTTTTCGCGAACCACCATGAGAATTTCGGGGGGCGGGGGCTGAAGCCCCTCAAGCCTGGCTACATGCCTGGTTCATACCCTCCAACATTTCACAGATGTAAACCAGGATACATGAAGCCAAGCATATCAGTGTGTGGTCAAGATGGCCATAATAAGAATAGATAAACCTGAAGAGGTTGCAGAAGTTTACTTTTGCTTGAGTGCACAAGGGAAAGTCAGGAGTCTCCCTCTGCCCATTGAATTAACTGAGTGCATTTTGTACTTTGAATTCAGTTTGCAACAGCTCAAGTAAGTTGAGGATGATGTGGAGAAGCAGGAGGAAGAGAGAGGACCTGGGACATTTTAGCCACTGGAATGTGGCAGAATTAATTATAGCCATCCCGGCCAAACTGGGACAGTTAGAGGTTATATCTGTGTTGTACTACTTCTCAGAATCAAAAGGAATCTTCCTCTCACATTAAAAATGTTTGTTTCTACCTCAAGTTCTTTCTGCGCAGAATATGAAGAAGTGTGCATAATTGGGTTATCAAACCCAACATGAATGAAAATTCTTACGCAGTGTAAGAATTTTCCAGCACAGATTTTGTATTATGAGCACCCATGGGAGATTGTTGTTAACTGCTATGCTGTGGATATAGCATATCTGGACTTCAGTAAGGCCTTCAACAAGGTCCCCCATGACCTTCTGGCAAACAAACTAGTCAAATGTGGGCTAGGCAAAACTACGGTGAGGTGGATCTGTAATTGGTTAAGTGGACGAACACAGAGAGTGCTCACTAATGCTTCCTCTTCATCTTGGAAAGAAGTGACAAGTGGAGTGCCTCAGGGTTCCGTCCTGGGCCCGGTCCTGTTCAACATCTTTATTAATGACTTAGATGAAGGGCTAGAAGGCATGATCATCAAGTTTGCAGACGACACCAAATTGGGAGGGAGAGCCAATACTCCAGAAGACAAGAGCAGAATTCAAAACAATCTTAACAGATTAGAGAGATGGGCCAAAACTAACAAATGAAGTTCAACAGTGACAAATGCAAGACTCTCCACTTAGGCAGAAAAAATGAAATGCAAAGATACAGAATGTAGGCAATGTCTAGCTCAAGAGCAGGACATATAAAAAAAATCTTGGAGTCCTTGTGGACAACAAGTTAAACATGAGCTAACAATGTGATGTGACGGGAAAAAAGCCAATGCGATTTTGGCCTGCATAAAAAGGAGTCTAGTGTCTAGATACAGGGAAGTCATGCTATCCCTCTATTCTGCCTTGGTTAGATCACATCTGGAATACTATGCCCAATTCTGGGCACTACAATTGAAGGGAGATGTTGACAAACTGGAATGTGTCCAGAGGATGGCGACTAAAATGACCAAGGGTCTGGAGAACAAGCCCTATGAAGAGCTGGGCATGCTTAGCCTGAAGAAGAGAAGGACGAGAGGAGACATGATAGCCATGTATCAATATGTGAGAGGAAGTCATAGGGAGGAGGGAGCAAGCTTGTTTTCTGCTTCCCTGGAAACTAGGACGCAATGGAACAATGGCTTCAAACTACAAGAAAGGAGATTCCATCAGAACATTAGGAAGAACTTCCTGACTCTGCCCCGGAGTGTGGTGGCAGCTCCTTCTTTGGAGGCTTTTAAACTGAGGCTGGTTTTATTGTGTTACTGTGTATTGTTTTATTATTTTACTGTTACTGCTTTAATGTTTTTGATTTGCTTTATGATTTATGTGTATTGGTTATGTTGTTGTTTTATTGAGGCCTTGGCCTTTGTAAGCCGCATTGAGTCCTTCGGGAGATGCTAGCGGGGTACAAATAAAGATAATAATAATAATAATAATAATAATAATAATAATAATCTGTCAGGAGTGTTTTGAATGCAATATTCCTGCTTCTTGGCAGGAGGTTGGACTGGATGGCCCATGAGGTCTCTTCGAATTCTATGATTCTACTATCCTGTTGACTTTGAGTTATGGTGATCCCATGAATGAGAGACCTTCAATGCACTATGCTATCAACAGCCCCATTCAGGTCTTGCAAACTCAACCCTGTGTCTTCCTTGGCTGAGTCTATTAATATGGAATTGAGTGTTCCTCTTAAATTACTGCCTTCCACCTTTCCAAGTATTGTTGCCTTTTCTCGTGTGTCTTGATATGGCCAAAGACAACAGTCTCTGTTTGGACATCTTGGCTTCTAGGAAGAGTACAGACTGTGTTTGTTGTAGGTCCCAGTTCTTTCTCTTTTTAACTGTCCACAGTATCTGCAGGACTCTTCTTCAGCACCACATTTTTAATGAACCGATTGTCTTCCTATCAGCCCCAATTCTGCTGCCTTCGCTTGCAAACCCACTCTGTCAAACAGGCCTTGTCGATAAGGGGCCCAGTTATAATTATGTCCTGGAAGAAGATTAGGAAATTAGTCAGGACTCACGGAGAGACCCGATCTGTTGTGAAAGGTTTTCTGTGTATTGCAGTCCAACATTTGCTAAGTCCCAGGGGTCCCCGAGACCTTCAGGAACCTAATTCATACTCTTAATGTAATTTATGTGTCTTATTAAAATATGAAGGAAATTCCCGGCCAAAAACTTAATTAACTCAAGGTTAAGGATGCTCAGAGGAAGAAACAGAACCGTTAATAAAAATAAATACAAGACATTTTCCAGAAGACGAAAATCCCCCTCATGATTTAAGTATGGAAACAAGAAGTTGAGATAATGCATATAAAAGATTCAAATTTCCTTATAGTTCATGCTAGGGTTTTTTTTCCCTATTAAAAAAAATACATAAATTGAGATTTTTGAAAATGAGACATTTAAATAGCAACTATAATCTCATTCTCTTTTTTTCTATTTCAGGTATGTTAAAAGCATTGTGGAATAATCTGTATAATAACTATAGCATGAAGCATAAAGTTATTTATTTTAGATGCCAAATAATTCATCCCCATATAATTTGCTACTTAGGAAATTAAGTAATTGTACAATACAAGAAATATTCAAGGAAGGAAGATGAGCACCAGTTACATGCCAGGGTCATTATCGAATACAATAGAGGGTTTCTGATGTGGTTGAATTAATATCCTAGCATTCTGCGCTCAGAAAAAAACTCAATGTTCAATGCTCCTTGAAAGGAAATTTT